AAGCTTAGTGTTCTCTATCTTATCGTCATCAGAAGATACCTAAACATGATGAATAAGGCGTAAAAACTGGTCAGCAGAACATATTCTACAGATTGTATTCCCTAACCAGGTAGAACGAAAAGAGAGTAGAGAGAATTAGATACCTCAACGTCTTCGAATGAGGCAACATGTTGGATTGTTCTTCCTGAACTCGAAGCCCCACCTGAGATCAGTATAGTATCATAAAGGTTATGCCTCACATTAGATACTTACTAGAGATTAAGAAAACTCATTCAGCCACATATTCCCCCCATAACCGATGCATGCAATTTTTTTTTTCATATGGATTAGCTCGGATAAAAGCAAATCCTTCCATGTTAGTGCGCTATGTTGTTTTTACCGACCATCTAGGAAGAACATGATTGTTCGAAACTTCAAAGTTTAGCTGTGCTAGCTCAAAAACAGACATTATAGCGTCACGCACACAGTCACTATGCATTTTCGTCTAACGAATACTACGAATGCTTTCAAAACTCTCAAAGTTACTTTGAAACTGAGGAAAACCCATGGAATGCATCAATGCCAACGCAATGATGTAATGAAGTTCCAATGCCATATACATCTCCTGCACTATCATGACTTTTGAAACAATTTCACGCGAACTTCTGGCCAAACTTATACGGTTTCCTGTTTAATTCTACCCATAGTTTATACTAACCAATCCCACTTTCATAATTCTCCCCCAGCATTGAAGGTGAGAGTCGGGCTGTGATACCAAGTGTTAAGGTTCCTCTGTATTCCTTAACTAGAACTGAGCTACAATTCCAGAAGAACTTGTTCCTAGCTCTCAAGCCTAATACCCAACCAAAATACTAGAAAATCCAGGATTCCTGATAAGAACCATACATGATTCTTCCTTTATTGACACTCTGAATCAGTTACAGGAGATGAACAGAGAAACAAACAGAAGCAAATAACCAAAAGATAGACCCTTGGATGAATTCTAGAGAACCCTATACTCTCCTAAGCTCAAACCAAGATCCTAAACCAATCTTGAATGCCTCAACTCATTCCTCTAGCTCCCTGTAAATCTTTAGCTCTTAGCTAACCGATAAGGTCTGTTGCTGAGCAGCACAGCCCGTAGGTTAGTTACAATAATCCTGCACTAGACTTAACGAGAACACCTTATCAAATACCTCAACTCGCAGCTAATGCTATCAACCGCGACTATAATGATAAATTGCAAACTCTCTTAAGCTAAATTACATTGCCCTCAACGACACTAACAAGAAAGCCTTGTAATCACAGGACAATGCCATTGCCATCTCCTTAATTCTAAATGCGCCTATTAAGCCTCTTGAAACAAACAAAACTAATCCCTTTTGGTTCCAATTCCAAAATCACAAGTTTTTTTGGCCAAACATTATCAAGGAATTGAGTAACTAACTGGAAATAACGGTGGCTCGGGCGTTTTTGAGGGCTAATTCGAGAAGATCAGGGTCAATGGAAGACAAGCCATTAGGATCTTGTAGCTTTCTTTCAAGAAACTTGGCTAAAGCTGCCGCTTTGTTCGTCTTCAAGGGTCCACCTGGATGAGCCAATCTGTAAGACATAACACACAAGGCAAGTCAGAATTTCAAATCGAGAGAAGAAGAAAAAACCCTAAAGGAGTGAAAGAAAAAAAGAACCTGGGAGGCTGAGAGCGAGAAGACGAAGGAAGAGAAGTAAGCGGAGCGAATTTGCTTCCTCTGA